GGGCTGCACTGCAGCTGGTAGATCTGGTAGTTTCAACCAATTCCCCAACTCCAGCCTAGAGGTAGGGCCAACCATGTCCAGTAACTCACCTCCCGCTCATACCAGTTGGATGCTTTGAACACAGAGACAGTAGACTCAATGGGTGTCAGTTCATCTGTATAGGTCTTTACACGGATCCTTGAGTTGAAGCGCAGAGACAGCAGGTTGTAAACAATCTAGGGAGAACAGAGGGAGCTGCAGGACCAAGATAGCCACAAGTTGAGGAATTAGGGGCGAGTGAGTCACCCAGTGAAGCATCAGGGATACAAGGTTGGTTATTGGCTCCACTCCACGAACTTGCCCTTCTGTCCTGAAGCTTAAAACCTCAAGATACTCCTAAACTTACACTTCCTTTTAAAGGCCTCAGCCAGCAGGATATAAATCAGCATGTTAGCACACTTATCTTTTTTTTTTTAATAAATTTTATTTTTATATTCCCCATACAATTGCAACCCCCCCCATTCTGATCCCAATCCCTCCCCTTCCACCCCACCCCCCCCAAAGTGTCTCTGTTTCATAGTTTTTTGTTGATTCTGATTTTCACTTTCTTATATTCATTTTCCTGGTCCCTTATTTAAGTTTTCTAGATTCCTGCTATGAGTGAGACCATCCGGTATTTTTCTTTTTCTTTCTGGCTTATTTCGCTGAGCATGATCCCTTCCAGCGCTATCCATGTTGCTGCAAATTGCATGTGTTTATCTTTTTTGAATGCTGAGTAATATTCCATGGTGTATATGTACCACATCTTCTTGATCCAGTCATCTATTTTTGGGCATTTGGGTTGTTTCCAAAGCTTAGCTATTGTAAACAGTGCTGCTATAAATATAGGGGAAGCACACTTATCTTCGTTCAAGCTCTTCCCTTTGTGTGGGATGTTCTCCCCAGCCCCAATCCTCACTGGGCTAATGCCGGGTCTCCTGGTCATCCATTAAGACTCAGCACCAACGTTCTATTCTCTTTCCATCAAAGAAGTTTCCCAGATACCTGAGTGCCCTTCTGTGTTCTTATAGCATTTCTAGCACCCCAAGTTTGCATATTATTACAGTAAGTTGTTTGTGTCCTTCCTTACTAGAGTAGAAGGAGGGACTCCTGGAAGGTAGGTATTGGCTCTTATTTCTCTCTTAATCCCAGGATCCGGCAAACAGTAGGTGATCCGTGATTATTGATAGTTATATGGACTAAGCATGTCTGTGCTATACGATCTACCTATACTATCTCATTTAATCCTCACAACCAGCCCTTAAGATAGGAAAGCTTGGGGCCTCCCTGGTGGCACAAGGGGTTAAGACGCAGCACTATGACTATCTGCAGCCACCGCAGCACAAGTTTCATCCCCAGCCAGGGAGGTGACCCACATGGCGCAGCAGACCTCTCCTGGTTTGCCCGCTGCTCCCCTCAGCAGTGTATTTCAGTCAATCTGCCTGTTCTGTTCCCCATTCTGTCTCTGGTGAACCCTCTCACCCCCCAAATCTCTGGCCTGTACCCCAGTTCTTGTATGCATGAATGAACAAATCTTAAAAAAAAAAAAGGAAAACTAAAACTCAAAAAGATTACACAAAATGCTTGACGTCACACAACCTATTAGCGGCAGAGCAAGGATTCAAACTTGAAGTCTGCCTGATTTTGAGGCCCTACTCTGACAGCTACATTACCCTGTTTGATGCAAACTGAAATTAAGGGGGTTACAGTTCCCACAAATAATCATTACCCTAAAATTGTCCTGTCCCCTTTCCTTCCTTTACTCCCCACAGAGTCTCAAATCTCCTGACTGACCTCAAAACGGTTCTGCCGGGTGGGAATGTCCACTGCTGTCAAGTCAGCCAAGGATTTGAATTGTGCGTTAGTGTGATCCCTGAGAAAAGTCAGCACCGGGATGACTCCATCAGGATGGATGCAAATCTCTAACTCATTGAAGCAAGACACCTGCACACATGGAAGGGGAGGGGAGAAGGAACAAAGTTATTGAGGAGGCAGCTAACTTCAGCTGGGGTCTCCTGGTTGAAGGCAGAGAAAGAAGCCCAAATTTGGATGCAGGAGTCCATGGTTTCTTTGATACTAGGCTAACTCATTCCGTATCACCTGAGAACACAATTCTTTCTTGACCCAGACCAAACAACAATGAATATTACCTGAACTTGCTGGACATACTTGGGCAGAATTTCAGCTACATATTCCCCAAAAGCTGAGAGCTGCTTGTGGGCTACATCATCCCGGGGTCTGACTGTGGCTGGAAGAAGAAGGCACACATATATATATATATATATATATATATATATATATATATATATAATTTTTTTTAAAGATTTATTTATTCATGCATATAAGACCTGGCGTACAGGCCAGATGTGTGTGTGTGTGGAGGGGTGGGGGTGAGAGGATTCACCAAAGACAGAGTGGGGAATAGAACGGGTGGATTGACTGAAATACACTGCTGAGGGGAGTAGCAGGCGAGTCAGGAGAGGTCTGCTGCATCATGTGGGTTTCTCCCCGGATGGCCGGAATCGAACCCACGCTGCAGAGGCTGCGGACAGCTTCACAGCGCAGCGCTCGACCCACTGCGCCACCAGGGAGACCCAGGAGAAGGAATATTTAACAAAGGAATGGAGATGGCAGCAGCAATCTGGCACCTGGTATCTTGGGCTTGTAAGGGGTTCAGTCTCCTAACAGGAGTCTGCAGAACTTTGAGAAAGGAGAGAGTGGATGGTTCTTCTTCCAGGGAATATGAAATGATAGAAACTTGCCACCTACATAGACTCTTCTTACTACTGCAGCTGACGTGTCTGCCTCTTCTCAGATGCTTCTTCCTTCACAGTGCCTGCATTTCTGCTAAACCAGAAATGTCCCACCAGACTAGTTCCTTAAGGGACAGACTCATAACTTTTGCCTCTCTGAAACTCCTTAACACCTGGCTCAGAACAGTTTCTCAAGCTAAGAGCTTCTTCAGGGTTAAAGAGCCCTCATAGATTGTCTAGTTAAAACCTCTTTTTGCCTTTATTGTTGCATAGTTAGGGAGAAACTGAGTCCCAGAAAGGGGGGTAATGCCAGGTCTTCTGGCTTCCATTTGGGTTAAGTTGATTGTAACTTATCTCCATACTTTCATTCATGGAACCCTAAATCACTAATCACCCACATATCACAGGCTTCAGAATAATATTAAGCGTTCTCAGCGTTTGGCAGCAGGCAGGTCGGCCCTGTCACTCACTAAGTCTGAGACTCTGGGAAAGTTACTTCTCTGATTTGTCTCTTGATTTGCCTGAAGGGCGTAATGCTATCTACATGGTAAGAGTAATGTGAGGACTAAGTAAGGTTATTCACTAAAACGCTCAGCAAGGCGTCTGGCATACATTACTATCTGCACTTACTTAATGTGAACTACTATTCTAACAGTTCTCTGAAGCTCAAAGGTTGTTCCTGTTCTCAAAGAGCTGTTTAGTTAGCAAAAAAGGGAATCGTGGAAAGGGAAATGCACCAAGGTAGTAAGGGTCGTAGCACAGAAGCCTAAGGGCACAGTAAATGCCCGATTCTGAAGATCACTGCAGTCAGGCCTCCAAGGACGAGCAGAGATTTGCCAGGAGGTCGAAGGGAAGGGCATCCCGGGGCAAGGGCAGACATCTGACAAAGGGAGTGAAGGAGCCCCCGCCTACAGTCCCGAAAAGGGCCCGGCCCGCACATACTCACGGCGCGAGTCGGCCGCGGCGCTCTCCTTCCTCACTGGCAGCAACAGCGCCGAGGGTCGCCCGGCCACTGCACGGGGAGATAAAAGGTACAGGAACGCAGAGTGAGGCCCGAGGGACTCCTTGCGCCCGGCGCGCCACTTCGCCTTCCCCAGTTCTCAGCCGGCTGCCCCCAGCTCACCCGCAGTCCGCGCCACAGCCCCACGAGCCCCCGCCACCAGCCCCTGGTTGCCGCAGCCGCCATGTTCCCCGGATGCAGACCAGGCAGCCACGGCAAGACCCACAGGACACGGAGCCCCAAGGGCACGGACCGGAAGCGGAAGTGTGCATTTGATCTTCTTCCGGGCGGGCGCGAGGTCGGAAGCAGAGGTTCCGGATTCCGGGCTTCGGAATGAAAGGAGGGAACGCAGGTGAGAAAGCGAGGCAGGCAGGTGGGGAAACCGTGAGGTGAACGCGGCCCTAGTTTGGTGTGCCAGAGGCTGGAAAGAAGGCGAGGACCCTAAAGAACCGGACGGGTGAGAGAGGAGACGGGGCGGGGACTCTGGATCCCACATTCCACGCCCCTTCCCCGTTGCTTAAACCAAGCTTTGGACGAAGGCCGGCGGGCGGGAGCGAGCGTGCCGGCGGGGGGAGGGGAAGAACGGTCTCCCTGGCGACTGTTTCCCAGACGACTCCGGGTGAGCGCGACGCTGCACGTGGCAACAGGCCTCCGCGTGCCCCTCACTGAGGACGGCTGGTATCTATTTCAAATTCTGGGACAGAGTCTTGGGCAGTCATTAGAGCGAGTGGGGGAAAGCTCTGCGAAGAGCAAATTTGGGGCTGCCTGATGCCCCAGGCCAAGCCTAATATTGGAAGGTATGGACTCCACGGAGGCGGGACTGGGGGCAGTTTGCATCCTCGAGCGTCACTAGTTTTATGCCCAAGAGTTATTTGGCTAGTAAGTCTTTTTGCCAGATTTTTAAAATTATAGGCTTTTTCCAGTCCCTTGCTTTCTTTCATGTGTTGACATAAATACCAAGTCTTTTATTGTATCGTAGAAAGGAATAGCCTGTGTTTTCTCAGGGAAGCACCCAAACAGGAACGTTTATTGATTTAATTAGGGATGGGGTTCCGCCACAGGAGAGTGAACCCAACTATGTTGAAGGAGAGCATCAGAAAAGTCCCCCACTTTGCTCTCACTTTTCCCTCCTCCCTCCCTGAATTGGCCAGTTGGATTCTTATACAGTGGCTGTGGATTCCCTGAATTACTCAGGGTAGTGTTGCATTGCAGACAGCTGGCAGAGAGAGAAGATGGCTACCATGGAATCACCAGAGGAGCCTGGAGCATCCATGGATGAGAACTACTTTGTGAACTACACTTTCAAAGATCGGTCACATTCAGGCCGTGTAGCTCAGGGCATCATGAAACTGTGCCTGGAGGAAGAGCTCTTTGCTGATGTCACTATTTCAGTGGAAGGCCGGGAGTTTCAACTCCACCGGCTGGTCCTCTCAGCTCAGAGCTGCTTCTTCCGGTCCATGTTCACTTCCAACCTGAAGGAGGCCCACAACCGGGTGATTGTGCTGCAGGATGTCAGTGAGTCCGTTTTCCAGCTCCTGGTTGATTATATCTACCATGGAACTGTGAAACTTCGAGCTGATGAGCTGCAGGAAATTTATGAGGTGTCAGACATGTATCAGCTGACATCTCTCTTTGAGGAATGTTCGAGGTTTTTGGCCCGCACAGTGCAGGTGGGGAACTGCCTTCAGGTGATGTGGCTAGCAGATCGGCACAGTGATCCCGAGCTCTACACTGCTGCCAAGCACTGTGCCAAGGCCCATCTGGCCCAGCTGCAGAGCACAGAGGAATTTCTTCACTTACCCCACCATCTACTCACTGATATCATCTCCGGTAAGTTGAGGGGGAGGGCGCATCATATCCAGCTGCTTGGGTATGGCACCTACAGGGGAAAGCCTGAAAGGAACCCTCAGGCTTCCTGGTATTATTCCCTATAATAAATGTAGTCACTTTCTGAGAATGAGTTGAGATTTAGTATAGCTGTTTGTCAGAGTCACAGAGGAAGAAGCCAACAAAATAAAAGCAGCAGCATTGATCCACAAAATGTAGTGAGGAGCTATTTATATTCAAACTTCTGCTGTGCATAAGTGTCCTCATTTGTTTTATACTTTATATATACATAAGGGATGAGCTACCCAAGTAATTTGATGATGAGTCAAGATAACTAATCAGGAATATTTTAAATAATAGACCAACTTTAAGTAACCACCCTGACCCTGCATGGTCTAATCATACTTTCGGTCTGAGTTTTGCAGCTCAGATTGGCAACTGGGAATATATCAAACCATCCATTTTGATTAAAAGAAACAGGGCAACTGTAGGTAAATTCCTCCTACACATGTGTCCATCGTGGTAGTCTAACAAAGTGATTCACGTCTTTAAAGCCCTCGGCTCTAAATTTCCCTTTCTGATTGTTGACCTGCCATTGATCATGCTTTTCCTTTGGCTCTCACAGATGGAGTTCCATGTTCCCAGAACCCAACAGAGGCAATAGAAGCCTGGATCAATTTTAATAAAGAAGAAAGAGAGGCGTTTGCAGAGTCACTTAGGACTAGTTTGAAGGTAAGGCAGATTTCTTGGGTTGGGACATCATAGTATCCACACATTCCAGCTGTCTATAGGTCTGTCCTCTTTAGTAACTGGTGAGTAAGTTGTCTCTGGTTTGAAGTTGATAAGAGGTGGGGAGGAAGACTCACGCATGAAGCCAGAAACTGCCAACCTCTCTACTCTAAAGCTCCTTGAGAACTGCATTAATAATCCTAAGCAACCTTTTGTCTAAAGCACTAGCTCCTGATTTTTTTTTTTTTTTTAAGCTGGAAGGATGAATGCAACAGGCTATCTACCCTAGCATAAAATGCGTGAAAGAAAGCAATTGGAAGATTATGGTGATTAGAAGGAAGCAGGTTAGAGTAAGAGTGTGGTCCAGAAACTTAAGGATATGCATTTCAGCTGAGCCTTGACCTAGAAGGGATAGATACCATTTATAACTTTAATTTTGCCAATAGGAAATTGGGGAGAATGTGCACATTTACCTGATCGGGAAAGAGTCATCTCGTACTCACTCGTTGGCTGTGTCTTTACACTGTGCTGAAGATGACTCCATCAGTGTAAGTGGCCAAAACAGCTTGTGCCACCAGATCACTGCGGCCTGCAAGCATGGCGGAGACTTGTATGTGGTGGGAGGGTCCATCCCACGGCGCATGTGGAAGTGCAACAATGCTACTGTGGACTGGGAGTGGTGTGCACCATTGCCTCGGGACCGGCTCCAGCACACCCTGGTGTCTGTGCCTGGGAAAGATGCTATATATTCACTGGGTGGCAAGACACTGCAGGATACCCTCTCCAATGCAGTTATCTATTATCGGGTAGGTGATAATGTCTGGACTGAGACAACCCAGCTAGAGGTGGCTGTGTCAGGAGCTGCTGGTGCCAACCTCAATGGGATCATCTACTTACTAGGGGGGGAGGAGAATGATCTGGACTTCTTTACCAAACCATCCCGACTCATTCAGTGTTTTGACACAGAGACAGACAAGTGCCATGTGAAGCCCTATGTGCTGCCCTTCGCTGGCCGCATGCATGCAGCTGTGCATAAGGACCTGGTATTCATCGTGGCTGAAGGGGACTCCCTGGTATGCTACAATCCCATGCTAGACAGCTTTACGCGGCTTTGCCTTCCTGAGGCCTGGAGCTCTGCCCCATCCCTCTGGAAGATCGCCAGTTGTAATGGGAGCATCTATGTTTTTCGGGACCGATATAAAAAGGGGGATGCTAACACCTACAAGCTTGACCCTGCCACTTCAGCCATAACTGTCACCAGAGGCATTAAGGTGCTGCTTACCAATTTGCAGTTTGTGTTGGCCTAAGGCAGTGTGCAAAGAGCGGCTGACTTGCCCTCTTTCCCTTTTTCAGCACCAACCCATCCAATACCAAGTCCCGATTCAGAATACTATGGTTTTGGGGGGCACATGTTAGAAAAGCAGCACCTTACCCCTTCCCTGAACCCATAGAAGTATCTGTTGGGGCTTTTTAGACTGCTGCTGCTGAGCTGGCTGCTTGCACTGAGTAGGCCAGCCTATTCTCTGCCACCCCCTGGTCAGCCTGTGCCTCACTACAGATTCCTTAGAGCAAGCAAGCCTCTCTTTAGACCTTGGGCACACCCTCCCCCCTTTACCTGATCAATGTTAAATAGAATCATCCCCATCCCCATCCCAAGGAAGGAGAAAAGATGCCCAGTCTTCCTTTTTTTCTATAGCCTGCAAAGTGGCTAGTTGGTAATTTTTCCACAAAGAATTAGGTGTTAAGCGTTTTCCTTCAGGCTTTGGTGGGAGAATGGACTAAGCTGAAGGTGTCCTTCACCAGCAACAGTCAACTCTAGAATACAGAATATTCTGTCTCTTGTTTTGTCATATATCGTCAGGAAACATATACTTTGGTTTTATTTTTGGCTAACTCCAAGGGGTAAGCCAGAAAGAAGTAGAAAGGATTATTTCTGATTAATAGCAGAAACTTTTTTCAAATTCAATACATAAAGGTCTCTACTCTTTAAATAGCTCTAATTAAGTCAAGAGCTAAGAACTGTTCATACAAATAAAAGTTTTTGAAGGGATATGTGTGTGTGTTTTGAATTCTGAAGAGATGACTTCTGAAGGGAAACTACTTATCCTCACATTTCTAAGTCAGTAGCAATACCGATTGAATCCCATACGTTTCCACATAGGGGATCACTGCTGAGAGATCAAAAATGAGAGCTGGAAAGGAGGGCACCGCTGAGTTGGGGCGCTGGCAGTGGTAAGGAGCCAAAGCCCAGCATGTCCCCTCTTTTCCTGGTGTTGAATGCTTTTGAATTACGGTGCTAAACACCATTACATACCATATTAAGTGTGCGATAGATTTCTTTGACCCTATTCACTAAGTGTCCATCCCTGCCTCTTATCTTCATACCCCATGAAGTGAAGCCATGCTAAACCTTTCTAGCCATAAACAGTGTTATTTCAGAAAAATGAAACGACAAAGGGAGGGCGACTATCCATTACTTAGCATACTTCTGTTAAGTCTGAGTTTAAGTTCCCGTGGTCCTGTTAAACTTTTTCTGTAGCGAGCGGGGTTGTCTTCTTTCTTTCCATGTGCTTCATGTCTGTGATGTGTGATAAGTCTCCTCCTTTGCTGCCTTTGCAGTAATCTCCTTGTGGAACTCTTTGAGAACTTCCATCTGGCCATGTCTGATGTGGATGTGGGACCGGATCTTGCTGATAGCTTTTACAGCCTCCTCTGGACTCCATTTGTTCACCTGAAGTAATACAGAGTTGGGAAATCAGCAGAGAAAGAAAGGAGGAGGAGTGAAGGTGTCCTTGACCTAATAGCAGGTGCTAGGGCTCTCAGAATCTTTTTTATTTTTTGTAATAAAACTCCAATGTCAGGGGGTAGTTAAAAACCATGCCCCTCACATAAATTATAAGGAATGCCCACTCAGTCAATTTGTCTCACTATGCTGTGCAACAGGCCAGGAGAAACAAGTCAGTCTTTCAGTCTTTTCTTAATTGTTTTAGGCTGAATGTGGGAAACTAAGCTGGGCTTGTCTAGAGCTACTAGATGGTCTTCGAGCTGAACCACGGGTAATAAGATTTTCCTGCAAAACTGTACAGGTGTTTTTATGTAACTTGTATTCATAGCTAGAAAAAGCACTTTATACTTCTTTTTTTTTTTTTAAGAAATTTTTTTTTAAGATTTATTTATTTATTTATTTATTTATTTTTTTTTTAAAGATTGATTTATTTATTTATGCAAGCACTGGGTACAGTCAGAAGCGCAGGAGGGTGAGAGAATTCACCAGAGCCAGAGCGGGGAGCAGAGCAGGCAGAAGGACCGAAGTAAACTGCTGAGGGGAGCAGCGGGAGGCAGGAGAGGCCTGTGCACCATGTGGGACCCTCCTCCGGTGGCCGGGGAGCAGCCGGGGATTGAACTGGCGCTGCAGAGGCTGCAGGCAGCTTCGCAACCCAGCGCTCAACTGCTGTGCCACCAGGGAGGCCCAAGATTTATTTTTATTTATTTATGCAAGCACTGGGTACAGTCAGAAGCGCAGGAGGGTGAGAGAATTCACCAGAGCCAGAGCTGGGAGCAGAGCAGGCAGAAGGACCGAAGTACACTGCTGAGGGGAGCAGCGGGTGGCAGGAGAGGTCTGCGCGCCATGTGGGACCCTTCTCCGGTGGCCGGGGAGCAGCCGGGGATCGAACCGGCGCAGCAGAGACTGCGGGCAGCTTCACAACCCAGAGCTCAACTGCTGCGCCACCGGGGAGGCCCGCACTTTATACTTTAATGAGAAGGGTTATCTTTGTGTCCCAAGGATACTTACTGGTTTAAAACTCAAGAAAACATAGATTTCTAGCCTGCCGTTCAGTTCTCACTCAACACAAAATCTCCTTAGACCCTGTTTCCAGGCAGACGTTCCTAATGACCAGAGCTTCGGTACTGTTAAATCCAGTCCACAGTAACACAAGAGGGTCAGGCTGATTATATTTCCCTTTTCCTTAAACCATCCACAGCATGACCTAGTAAATGTTCTGCAGGGGCAAAAATGAGTCAAATGGGCCTCCCTGGTGGCACAAGGGGTTAATAAGCACCACACTATGAAGCCGGCCAGGGAGCAACCCACGGCACGCAGACATCTCCTGCCTAGCCCGCTGCTCCCCTCAGCAGTGTATTTCAGTCAGTCTGCCTGTTCTGTTCCTCACTCTGTCTCTGGTGGATCCTCTCACCCCCCGCATCTCTGGCTTGTACCCCGGCTCGTGTATGCATAAATAAATCTTTTAACCAAAAAAAGTCAATTGGGAGTATATAATGGAATATTAGACTAGAGTATTTGCTTCTAAATATTTTTTTAAAACATCCCACCAGCCAATCATAGCTAAACAACAGATAAAATTCCATTTGGATTGTTTCTAGAAATCAATGTCCAGAACTTTACTGTGAGATACTTGAAGAAATATGAATACTGTAGAGCTGGAAGTGATCAACACTACTGTCTACAGGACTAGATTTTCTGACATGCTATTTATAACACGCTTCTGGCCTTTTGCTGGTGTTAACATCCTTTGCAATTTCAGTTTTTGAGAGCCTGCTGTAGATCAGTGCTTGATACCATTTCTCATTTAAGCTTCATAACAAATTTAGTTTGAGGGAACAGAATCAGAGATGGGAAGCTACTTTTGCCTAAGGTCACACAACTGGCAAGTGGCAAAGCCAGAGTTCAGCCTATCTGCAAAGCTCAGGAGTTTTCCACACTCCCACATCTCCCAAGCCTGAAAGAGGGGACGTGGCTTCTTTCAGCAAAGCCTGGTGGTAGACTGAAGTATTCTAGATCTTTCCTACCTGAATAAGATATGCTGCTACCATAGTGGCACTCCTAGAGCGCCCAGCTTTACAATGCACGTAGACACTCTGACCCTGCGATTGGTACTTGAGAGCAAACTGGACTCCTTTGTGGAGGTTATTCAAGGTTGGGATTCCGGTCATGTCGACTGTGCTGAGCCGCAGCTGCTCAACACCTACTTTTTTCCACTCCTGGAACCAGAGAATGAAAAAAGCCTGGAGTTAGTAGTATGAAGATGGCCCTCAAGAAGCAGCAAAGCAACAAGGAAGCTTCAGGGGTTACGACTGTGAATATACCGCTCACTGTTTTCTGAAAAAGTAAACATCTTCCACAAAGTCATTAAAATGGCTGACCTGCATGGTCGGGCCTTCAAAGAACAGTTGTGCTGCTGAGTTACAATTAAGTCTAAGACTTACAGTGTTCTTAAAGTACCGTTTGGGTATTTGGATCTTTAGCTGCGAAATATTAGCTATACAAAAATACAGCTACGGGGCCTCCCCGGTGGCGCAGCGGTTGAGCGCTGGGTTGCGAAGCTGCCCGCAGCCTCTGCAGCGCCAGTTCGATCCCCGGCTGCTCCCCGGCCACCGGAGGAGGGTCCCACATGGCGCGCAGACCTCCCCTGCCGCCCGCTGCTCCCCTCAGCAGTGTACTTCGGTCCTTCTGCCTGCTCTGCTCCCCGCTCTGGCTCTGGTGAATTCTCTCACCCTCCCGCGCTTCTGACTGTACCCAGTGCATGTATAAACAAAACAAAGAAAGAAAGAAAGAAAGAAAACATGCCTCTCTCTATAAAAAAAAAAAAAAAAAAAAAAAAAAAATACAGCTACGAAAGATGCATAACAGGAATGAAAATACACTGACGAGGGGAGCAGTAGGCAAGACAGGAGAAGTCTGCCTGTGCCATGTAGGTCAGCTCCCTGACTGGGGATCGAACTCATGTTGTAGTGGCTGGCGATAGCTTGATAGCACTGAGACTTTAATCTCTGCACCACCAGGGAGGCCCTGGGCAACTTTATTTTTGCTTTAAGACTTCAGATAGTCTCCAGTTAACTCCAGTTATCTCTAACCAGAGACTTTATGACTCTGAATGAAGGTCAGTTATTTTATACTGCTCATGAAATTTACAATAAAAACAGTTGTGTCGCTTGTGGCTGATGCATTAATTACACTTGGAAACTTGCTAAATATTCAGATTCCTGTGCCACACCGTAAAGCTCCTGAGTTAGACTCTCTGGAGATTGATTGTACCAAGGAATCTGCTATTTTAACATGACTGTCAGATAACTTTGAGGCATATTGAAATATTTGAACCACGGCCTTGGAGATTTCTTTTTTCTAGGCTAGTGGGATGATACAGCCAAATCTTATAAATGTCACTGCCTCATACCCAGAGACCCAGCAATTTAGAGTACTTTTCTTGCCCCATAGCACTGACTACACAAAGGAACATTTACAAGCTTGACCAATAACTCCTGAGGCTTGTAGCAAGTACGTTGAAAAATCCAAGGAACTGTTATCCATTACTTAAAATGGTATGCCATCACCAATCAACATTTTTAATGTGAGTTACATATTTTTAAGATTTAAAATACAGGTTGAGGGAGGCAAAAAAATTACAGGTTGTAATAGTAACATCTTCAAGTTATGTCAGTAAACAGGAAATGTATAGTGCTAATAGATATCAAACACTATAGACACTGACATCTAATAACAATTGTAGACAGTTTCAAGCATTCACATTTAATGAAAATTATATTAGGCCTGAACTTGGTTGTGATAAAACTTTGGACTTCACTCTGATCTCTAACATGTTTCCTCAAATCAGCGCCCTATGCAGGTTTTGAATAGTGGTTTTTATGATAAATTTAAGCCTGGAGATGGCAAGGAGGGTGAGCTTTTCTTCTTAGAGTTTACAGCACCTTAACACAGCGCCTGATCCAAATTTAGTGCTCACTAAGTGGACTGAATGAACTCAGCAAGCCATAAAAGAGTTGCCTTTCAATTTGGATTAGATTTCAGTTACTGAATTAACCCATCTGTGCACAAAGGAGTCATCAGACTTTGCCAACTCTACGTTCGAATAGCTTTCACATCAGTTTCAATTTCACAATTTGTTTCCCCCTCCAGCCCTAGTCTTTTCAGCTTAAGAGGCCAAGGCCCTCCTCTGTGCGGGGGTGAAAAAAAAAAGTCTGGGGTACCCACCTCGGAGGCACGGTCTCCTGCCACGCCCCCCTCAGCCCCTCAGAGGCCCGGGAGGGTGGGCGCCGCCGCCCCGGCGCCCCCTCCCCCGGCCGGGGCCCCTCACCTTCGAGGAGTTGCACAGAAACCGCGTCTCGTACTCCTCGTTCATGGTGATCACCCCGCGCACGTTCTCGTCCTGAATCAGCTGCCGAGGCAAAGAGGGGGCTCAGCAAGGGTGCGGCGCGGCCGGCGGCCCCCGCGCCCAGGCCCGGCGCGGCCTCCCGGCCCGGCTCACCCGGCGCGTCAGGCTCCGCAGCGGCAGCGCGCCCAGCAGCACCGTGCGGTCGATGCGGTGGTACCAGGCGCGGCGCGCGCGGCCGGGGATCTTCCCGCGGAGCAGCGTGTACAGCAGCGTCGGGTAGAAGAGCACCCGGGCCAGGCCGGCCCCCAGCAGGCCGCCGGCCGCCATCCCGCGCCACCCGGCCGGGCGCAGCGGCCACCTGCCCCGGGCCGGGCTGGCGGGCCGCGCCCACGAGTGGACATGGGAGGGCGGCGAGGACGGGGGCGGCGCGTTCGCGGCCTCCCGCCGAGGCCGGGCGGCCGGCGCGGACCCCGCGGGCGCCGAAACGCCGGGCCCGGCCCGCTGCGCTGGCGGGACCGAGCTCTGGGACCCCGGGCCCCGCCGCATGGCTCCGGAGGAGGGGCCGCCGGCCCGGGGGAGGGACCGCGGCGGCCCGCGCGCGAGGCTGGGACCCGCCCCGGCGTTCCCGCGGCCGGCCCGAGGCCACCACCCTGAAACTGCGACCCCCGCGGACCCCCTCCCGCGGGGGGGCTGTGAGCCCCGGTGAGGGGGCGCTGAGCCCCGCGGGGGTGTGTGACCCCCCCGAGGAGGCGGGGCCCGGCCACCGGCCGCCGGGGCTGTGACACCACCCGCCCCCATCCGCCCTCCTCGCCGCCGGCCAGAGGAGGGGTTAAGCCCACAAGTGAGGGGGGGACCCCTCCAAAAAGAGGGGACACAACCAGGAAGAGACTGGTAGGCGTGGCGCTTAAGACGGGTAAGCGCAAGGGGCTTTGAACTTTTCAAGCAGAGGGTCTACCTTGAAGGAGTGGGGGCCTGGCCCGGGGCGCACAGGGACCTGGCCCCATAGTCTCCTTCCCATCACCACCCACCCCCCATATGTCTGAATCCTTGGCTCGCTCATCCTGACCAAACCCTAGTTTCTATACGTATGGAAAATATATAAATATATCTTATGAAAATATGTTAATATATGACTAAGAAACATAAGCTTAAATATAAAACTCACACCTGCAAAGAGGTAAAAGATTGTAATGCTGGTTATTTACAATGAAATAATTCTCTGAAATATCCATCCCACCCAGTGCTTTTTTTTTTTAATATTTATTTATTAAATAAATAATAAGTGGGGTGTAGGCCAGAGGTGCAGGGGGTGAGAGGAGTCACCAGAGACAGAGTGGGAAGCAGAACAGGCAAATCTACTGAAATACACTAATCAGGGGAGCCGTGGGCCCAGACAGGAGAGGTCTGCTGCTCCATGTGAGTTGGCTCCCGGGCTGGGGATTGAACTCATGCTGCAGTGGCTGGCCATCACTTGATAGGGCTGTGTCTTTAACCCCTGTGCCACCACGGAGGCCCCCCTCACCCCGTGCTTTTTAGAAAGGACTTATTTATCCCTACAAAAGTAACATAACAACAGAAAAGTCTATTTAATCACCCGTAATCCCACTTCCTCAAAGTCATTTAGTTTTCCTCCAATTAAAAAAACCTATAATGGTTTTGTTGAGATACAATCACATACAATTCATTTTTTTTTTTTTTAAGATTTATTATTTATTTATTTGTTTGTTTATTTTTACAAGCACTGGGTACAGTCAGAAGCGCGGGAGGGTGAGTGAATTCACCAGAGCCAGAGCGGGGAGCAGAGCAGGCAGAAGGACCGAAGTACACTGCTGAGGGGAGCAGCGGGCGGCAGGAGAGGTCTGCGCACCATGTGGGACCCTCCTCCGGTGGCCGGGGAGCAGCCGGGGATCGAACCGGCGCTGCAGAGGCCGCGGGCAGTTTCGCAACCCAGCGCTCAACCGCTGCGCCACCGGGGAGGCCCTACAATTCATTTTTAAAGCATTTTTTAGTATATTCAGTGTGTAGCATCACCACAACCAATATTATTTATTTATTTATTTTAAGATTCATTTATTTATGCGTACAAGAGCTAGGGTACAGGCCAGAGGTATGGGGGGTGAGAGGACTCACCAAAGACAGAGTGGAGAACAGAACAGGCAGATAGACTGAAATACACTGCTGAGGGGAGCAGCGGCCTCGCCATGTAGGTTGCTCCCTGGCTGGCCGGGGTTGGAACTCATGCTGCAGAGGCTGTGGATTGCTTCATAGTGTGATGTTTAACCCCTTGCACCACCAGGGAGGCCCACAACGAATTTTAAAACATTTTTATCATTCCCAAAAGAAACCTCATACTAATTAACAGACACTCCTCATTTCCCCCAACAACCCAGCCCCAACCCAGGCAACCACTAATTTATTTTCTGTCTCTGTAGATTGTTTTGAATATTTGAAATAAATGGAATGATATGTTTCCTTTGTGTCTGGTTTCCTTCACTTTCACTTAGTACAGTGCTTTCAAGGTCACCCATATGGTGGTGTATCTCATTGCTGTGGTTTTTTTAATTGCCAAATAATATTCCATTGTATGGACGTGCCACATTTCGTTTCTCCATTTATGAGTTAATGGACATTTGGGGTGTTCCTACTTTTTTGGCTGTTTTCAATAATGAGAACATTTACATACGAGTTTTGATGTGTACTTAAGTTTTCATTTGTCTGGGGAATATTGGGTCATATGATAATAATGCATGTGGTCTATTTTAAAAAAATCTTTGTAATAGTGATAAAATTTTGTGTCATGATTTTTTTCACTAAATGTGCTGTAAGCACTTTCCATATTGTTTTACCAATTATAGTGATCTATTTTAAACTACTAAGCCATAATGTGATCATTCTTCTACTTAGGAATGTTTCAAATTCTGCTATTATAAAGTCTTTGCAGCATGAAGATTTTTTCTCTCTTTCTATATTTTCTATATGCATACAAAAGATGGGGTACAGGCCAGAGGTGTGGGCGGAGGGGTTAGGGGGAGGGTGAGAGGAGTCACCAGAGACAGAGTGGGGAACAGAACAGGCAGATTAATTGAAATACACTGCTGAGGGGAGGAACAGGTGAGTCAGGAGAGGTCTGCTGTGCCATGTGGGTTGATCCCTGGCTAGGGATCGAACTCTTGCTGCAGTGGCTGCCGATAGCTTCATAGGTTGCATCTTAACCCCTTGCACCACCAGGGAGGCCCCCCTCCTTTCCTTTTAAACTCAAAGAACATCCTATCGTTTGTCTATACTACATTATGTTTATGCATCTGTTGATGGATTGTGAATCTCAACTCTTACTAATATGGGCAAAAAGGGTCATCTATTTGACTAATAAAATAAATCTCTGAAAGGGCAAATGGGCAGCTGACAATAGACTCCAGGGGTATGAGGGACTCAAATACTGCCGGAAGTTTTTGTTTCTCTCCTTTCCAGACCCACAACTTCATATATTTGCCTCCTACAAGCCACAACCTCTTTTCCTGTGTATATATATATTAATGTGTATATATATATATATATATATATATTTACATTTATACTAGCTTTGGAGAGACCAACATTTAATTGTACCATCATTTCTTTAACCATTTTCCTGTTGTTGAATAGGAAAATACAACTGTAGTAGAGTCTGTTTTACTTATTATTTTTTACCACCGGCAAATATAATTGGTGTCATGAGGGCAGAGACCCTGTTCATCTTACTTATGCCTATAACCCATTGTCTAGCCAGTGACTGACATCACTGGCATTCAATAAATACAAGTTGACTGAATCAAAGGATGCTGCAGGAAGGCCTCTGTACATGCTTCCCCTTGGTGTTTGTGAAGAAAACATTTCTAGGAATAAAATTGCTACACTAAGGATATGCCCTTCTCTTTAAGAGTGTTACAGTGAATTGCTCATAACTTTGTTGAGTATACATGACACATACTACACACATGTAAAATATACATTTTAATACACTGACAGATGTATATACTTGGAAGCCATCTCCACAACGAAGACTGTGAGATTAACGCACCATACCGAACAGTTTTCTTTTTTTTTCAAAGACTGTGTCTTAAGAAGTTTGTTTATTTATTTTAAGATTTATTTATTTATGCATACAAGAGCTGGGGTATAGGTCAGAGGTGCGGGCGGGGGGGGGGGTAAAAGGATTCAACAGAGACAGTGGGGAGCAAAACAGGCGGATTGACTGAAATACACTGCTGAGGGGAGCAGCGGTTGAGACAGGAAAGGTCTGCTCGTCATGTGGGTTGCTCCCTGGCTGGAGATCGAACTCAGGCCATGGTGGTGATAGTGCTGAGACTAATCCCTATGCTACCAGGGAGGCCTGGTTGCATCAGGTTTCATTCCTAGCAACAATAATATGAGGAGTCCCCAAAAAAGATTTCACTGAAAATCTCAGTTGAGATTTGGACAAGACAAGAAAAAAGAAAGAAACTAGACCACTAGCCCACAGCACTCACACCAATTATAGATCTAAATGTGAAAAGCTTAAAGAATAAAGGAGAATATTTTCATGATTTGGAGGAAACAAAGATTTCTTAAATGGAACAAAAGAATCACCAATTATAAATAGGACCTTATTGACATTAATCCAGCCACAGACAGGTATTTATATCTCATAAGGAACTTTTATGAAAAATATATAAAGAATTCCAAACCAGGGCCTCCCTGGTGGCGCAAGGGTTAACAGCCCTGCCAAGCTATCCCCAGCCAATGCAGCACAATTTTGATCCCAGGCTAGTGAGGTGACTCACATGGTGCAGCAGAGAGTGTATTTCAGTACATCTGCCTGTTCTGCTCCTACTCTGTCTCTGGTGGATCCTCTCACCTCCTCCGCACCTCTGGCCTAGACCCCAGTTCTTGTATGCATAAATAAATAAATCTTTTATTTTTTTATTTTAATTTTTTTATTTTTATATTCCCCAAGCAATTGCAACCCCTTTATTTTGACCCCAATCCCTCCCCCCCTATAAATAAATCTTTTTAAAAAATTACAAACCAATTGAAAAAAAAAAAAGACAATAGATCCCTATTGGCTGGACTTTGCCTAGAGATTGCTACATCCTTCCATGGAAGAGGAGAAGAAAAAAAAAAAAGAAATGGCTAGTTCAAAGTCCACCTGTTCTGCTCATTCCCTGTCTCTGGTGAATCCTCTCACCTCCTCCACACCTCTGGCCTATCCCCCAGTTCTTGTATGCATAAATAAATAAATCTTTTTTAAAAATTACAAACCAATTGAAAAAAAAAAAAGACAATCAGGAGATCCCTATTGGCTGGACTTT